ACGGTGCACCTTGCCTTTATTATTTTCCCTCATGAGGTGCCGCCGTTTCTTCTTGGGACTTTCACATGTCCCCGCCACTTGTCCCGTCAGTGGTCGCCGGCACTTAGTCCCGCCGGTGGTCCCCGATACTTAGTCCCACCGGTGGTCCCCGACACTTAGTCCCGCCGGTGGTCCCCAACACTTAGTCCCGCCGGCGGTTCCCGACACTTAGTCCCGTGGGTGGTCCCCGACACATTTCGCCCCGGATGCCATTATTTTTACTTAGTCCCACATGGCCCCGGGTGCCTTTCCCCGAGGTGTCTCACGTCCCTTGGGCGTTTTGCCGCCCCATGGTGACCCCTCTCCCTTATCTTTTCTTGCGCCTTGTGCGCGCCGATTTCTTTGGTCGTGGGCCTCCGCTCCGAGGCTCCCGTAAGTGGCCCCCACGTTGGCCCCTCATTCTCTAGCTTCCCACGGCCCCGGGGTCATCCATCTCTTGACTTCCTCATTCTTTTATCACTGTCGTGCTGCATTTGCTGGTTGAAGGGCCCTTTGGCCTTAGTCTTTATTNGGCCCCGGGGTCATCCATCTCTTGACTTCCTCATTCTTTTATCACTGTCGTGCTGCATTTGCTGGTTGAAGGGCCCTTTGGCCTTAGTCTTTATTGCATTCCAACGGCCCTCCCGGCCTCATGCTACATCTTATATGCCCCTGCTCCTGCGCTTATTCTCGTGCCGTTGCTGGTTTTCTCCTCCTGTGGTTTTCACTCCAGGACATTACTCCCTCCTGTGGCCTTATCCTTTGTCTTTTCTCTCTCCTGCCACCTAACTCCAGATTTGTCTGTTGTGCACAGTTCGTCCATGTTCAGTGTCTAGAGTGATGGGAAGTTATTCGAGACTCACCAGTCCCGACACCGGTCATAGCCTCGGTACCACCCACAACGCAATGCAGTGCCACCTCAGCCAAATGCCACATCAACATGCTCTCATCACCATACATACATTCCGCTGTCACCACAATGTCCCAAGTTGTATACCCTTCCAGCGCGCACCCCTCTACCCGGGTCGCGCGCTATTTTGCCTGACATCACAAACACCTACTGCGAAGAAGCCTCGTCAACGCACCAAGTCTGTATGTCGCCAACACACAAGGTAAGCGGCGAATCGAACCAGCTCCGATACCAAATTGCAAGGAACATGAGTGTGAACGAAGTACAGAAATCCAAATTGCAAATCACCCTGAAGTCCATGTAGTCAAGCAGAGAGCAGATAGCACATTGGAACCAAGAAACCATCCATTGAGAACGACACAGCAGAATCAAGAGTCAATGTCCAAGCCCGAAGGGCCACACCATCATCAGAACTCAATGTAGCTCTCACTTTGAATAACGTCGGGCGCCGTATCTACTGTACAGCCTATCCCTACAACTACAGCATGATGCAACCAGGACGACTTGAAGACCAGTGTGCTTGACGTCAACACCAATGCCGACCCCCTCTCGCACACCGGGTAAGTACTCACTCGCTTGCCTCTTCTCTTCCATGACTCCCACTCATCGTCTCTTCCTTCCGCAGACCACCTTCGCCCTCACCTCCTTTTGCGCCTTCTTGCAGCCCGGCTATGGCTGCCAGCGCCTTGCACCCCAGCTGCGCCCTACCGCTTAGCGCCAGCCAACTTTCTCTCAGCCAGAGCATAGCGCAAGCACCCGCGCTACAATGCAGCACCGTGCCCGCAATGCCTGCATTGGCCAAGATGCCTGCCCACTCGCACATTCTGCCTATATGCCTTGTTGTGTGTGGGCGGCCTCCCTCGAGCCTGCGTCTGGGCCCAGGCCCAATCACAGGTGGGGCCCAGGTAATGCAGTTGCGCCCCTTATGTCAGGGTCATTGTACAGATTCAAACCCCGTTCCGGTTTCCCATTGGTTCGCCCGGCCCCTACGACACAATGCTGCTTTTCCGAAGGTCAGCGTCCAATGTGTGATGTGTCAGCCTCCCAGACTGGTGCCCAGGGCTCAACCAACTGAGGCCCTAGGCTTAACTGCCTCTACAGGAAGTCTGGGCTCACGATGCACTCCAACCAACTGGCGTGCAGCAACTGTTTGATACGCACTTCGTGAAATGTTGAATGGAAGGCCTCTTGTGGATATTCTGGCCCGCCTTCGCTTAGAGCGGGCACGAGGCTTGCTGGGGTCCTTAGCCCAGAATATGGGAATGTCGGCAAGGCCCCCACTGAGGGCTCAACCCTCACATTTTATTGATTGATGATTAGTTATTATTCATTATTCCTTATTATTTATTTATCATTTTCGTAATTAAATTGTTCGGCGGGGGGGGGAAGGAAGTTCACTTTTTTTTCTTTTCTCTTTGATTAGGAGTCCAGTCCACATTGGGACAGGGTACTGTATGTTGATTGCGTTTGTTCTGTTCTACCCCTGTTCCCACCCTCCCTACCCTCCCCGTCCTGTGCGACCACTGAGGTCTCCAAGTACCACATCAGCAGTGCTGATGTCGACGGAACAGGACACCAGGGCACTGCCACGATGTAGTGCCAGGCTCGCAGTTCGTAGCCACTCTATGCTACCTCCACGGCCTAAGTATCAGCAACAACGACTCAGCAGGAGAACGACTCCAGCGGCATCTAGTACCAAGGCAGAAGCTGCAGTACCGGTCACCACAGGGGTCCACCCCGCCTGTCCGGTCCAAGGGGACCACGGGACTTTGGCAGCTTACCTTCAGCGAGTGCAGGCATTCACAGATGCCGTCGCCACAACAAAGGCACAGCAAGAGGCAGCAGAAGCAGAACGTCGGCGGCTTGCCCAAGAGGCGGCAGCTTAAGCTCAGCGGACTGTTGAGGCTGACGCAACGGCTCGAGACAAGCGGAACGCCGCCAGCACTGAATCGTTGATTCAGAATGAGAGTTAGTGGACAGCACTACTCCAAGGCATGATCTTTGTGCCTACGGACAAGCGGGTGGATCCAACACTGGCGGAGGCAGAGAGGAGTAACCTGGCTAACTTAATGTTGTGTATGATGAGGGCGGTATTGTGGAACAATACGATGCAGATTGTGCACGCGCAAATTGGACGGCAGCTGCGACAGACTCAGTAGAGAGAATCTGCAACTTTGACAGCCGCCATCCGCGCACCAGCACACCATCAGCAACAACAGCAACAACTGTTGGCATCCACTATCACACGCATCAACAGCATCGAGGCTAAGCCCTCAACAGCACCAGGCTGCACGACGGACATAGCGAAGCAGCTCGGAGAGCGCATCGACCATGTTGTCACCATCATCGGTGACCTGGGTGACTTTACCAGTCCGGCCACGATTAGCAACACGGTGGGGCCGCCATCAAGACGGACATCACCAAACTGCAATCACGACCGGAAGCTGCCGCGAAGGCATACAAGATGCCACGTTTCAACATTGGGAAGTTTGATGATTACAACAGAATAGACACTTTGGCATGGTGGCAAGCCTTCATGCCTTCATCACCGAAGCAGTCTGCCACCACGTGCCAGATTACCTGATGATGACAACACTCTACCTCCAACTCATTGGAGGAGCACAATCATTCATGAACCATCTGGCGGCCAATCTGGGAAGCACCATCGCCGACCTGCACGCGCGTATCACGTGGGAGCAGCTCGAGAAAATGTGGCACACTCGATTCATGGTCTAAAACGTAGTGAAGGCGGCCATGAACGAGGTCTACTCCAGCTCGCAAGGGAACATGTCAACACGAGACTGGACGATCAAGTGGCAGAAGATAGTAACCACTCCCGGTTTCAACTTAAGTTTCCCAAACCTGCGATCCGAATTCTTTTCGCGATCTTGTGGAGGACTGCGGTCGGCGCTAGGTAACGAGTACGACTATGCCTCATTCAAGGCCAGCCTTGACCGTGCGAACCTGGTCATCCAAACGGACGACAAGGCCGCCAACGAAAGGCAGTCCCAACCGCAATATGTGGCTAAGCAAGGCTACCAACGGTCGGCACATAACAATCCGGTGATCGCTGACGAATCACCTGATCTCCATGCTACAGCAGCGACCTCAAGAGATGGAAGAGTTATCGCAGCGCTTCTGCCGAAGCGTCCTAAAAGGATTCGGAAGAACAAGGCGACACAAGGGACGACAACGACGGAGACTGGGCAGCAACCATGGACGACATACAACATCACCAAGGAAGTTTTTGAACTTCGACAACGGTATGGGTATTGTTTTTGGTGCAACAGTGTAAACCACACTACTGCACAATGCCCGGACAAGGGCAAGGCAAAGGTACCCCGTCCAGCTAACTCAGGGAACTGAGTTGCGCACTTCGCCGGAGCCGGTTGCCTGGCTAACAACCGATATCACCACTGGGGAGCATGCTAGGATTATGCCGCCCAGCTGGTGCCACCATTGGACCGGCCTAGCCACGTGCACTTAGATAGCGTATGCGTAGCTTGTACACCGTCGGCAAGATAACTGGTTAGTTCGCCACTTATTTTTGAGGACTCGACGGCGTTGTCAAGGCTTGAGGACCTCGACCCGCTCACGAGAGAGAACTTCTCTTGGATGCCTCTATCCTCGACCGGATCCTTGCCAAAGTTGCATTGTAACGCCTTGATGGCAAATCTACGCTCCTACTTGCACGCTGCAGTACCAGCTCCGTTGACGGACCACGGAGTAGCGGTTGTCGATCTCCGCTGCTATCTTGCGAAGATTGACCGCGAGTACACCACCCAAAGGTACGTTGAGACCGACGCTCCTTTGCTCTATATCCGCATTCAAATCGGAAAGGCCACCTACAGTGCCTTGATTGATTTCGGAGCATCTCGTAACTTTATGAGCCAAGCCTTTATGGCATGCGCAGGCCTCGGCCCCCTCGTTCGAAGGAAGACGCAACCTACGCAAGTCACACTTGCGGATGGCCACACGCAAAAGTCAATTGACGGATGCGTCAACGGTGTTCCCGTGTACTTTGCGCCCCTTGTGTGTGAGCCGGTGTCTTTCGACATCCTCGACAACAAGTTCGACATGATTCTAGGCATGTCTTGGTTGCGTAGTGCCGACCATTCGATCAACTTTCATAACCAAACCGTTCACATCCGTGATCGGAACGGAGTGTTAGTCCCGTGTACGGTCGCGACTCCTCACAGTTTGATTTCTTGTCACGTGGTTTCCGTCGCGAGGATTCGTGACGCCATAGCTCGGAATGACGTGGAGGAGATGGACGTTGTTTTCCTACATGCCCTCCCCTCGACGGACGGACCAGCCGCGTCACCGCCGGACCCATGCATTACTCACCTCTTAGATGGATATGGAGACGTCTTCGAGGTTACCACCGGAACGGTTCCGGATCGGCCCATATGTCACGGGATTACTCTCAAGGCAGGTGTCGTCCCTCCGCGTGGATTCATTTACCGCATGAGCAAAGAGGAACTAGAGGTGCTTCGCGCACAACTCGACGACCTTCTCCACAAAGGCTGGATTCACCCCAGTTGTTCGCCATACGGTGCACCGGTTCTCTTCATCCGGAAGAAGAACAAGGACCTACGGTTGTGCATCGACTTTAGAAAACTTAACGCACAAATCGTAAAGAACGCCGGCCCTCTCCCTCGGATCGATGATCTCCTTGAGTGGTTGGGCGGCGCGACGTACTTCTTGAAGTTGGACTTGAAGTCGGGTTACCACCAGATCGAAATTCAGCCTCAAGACCGGTACAAGACTGCCTTCAAAACGCGGTATGGGCATTTTGAGTGGGTCGTGATGCCATTTGGACTCACCAATGCCCCGACAACCTTCCAAGCAGCCATGACAACAGAGTTCCGAGACTTGCTCGATCGTACCGTCCGCATCTACCTCGATGATATCTTAGTCTATAGTCGGACGCTTGACGAGCTCCTCGTACACCTTTGTGCAGTTTTGGATCGTTTGCGAGCAGCCAAGTACAAAGCAAACCGCGACAAGTGCGAATTTGCCAAACAAGAGCTTGAGTACTTGGGCCACTATGTGACGTCAAAAGGCATTCGTCTCTTAGCGGACAAGATCCAAACCATCGTGGATTGGTCGGAACCCCGTTGCACTACAGGCGTACGCTCTTTTATGGGTTTGGATGGATACTATCAGCGCTTCGTCGAGTCTTACTCCAAAGTGGCAGCTCCTTTGTTGAGACTTCAGTCCCCGAAGGTACCATTCGAGTTCGACGAAGCAGCTCGTGGCGCGTTTAATACGTTGAAGGCAGCGATGCAAGACGTGCCGGCCCTCCGTATCTATGATCCCACCCTACCCACCCAAGTGACTACGGACGCTTCCGGATACGGTATTGGTGCGGTGTTAGAACAATGCTTTCCGGACGGTTGGCACCCGGTTAAGAACTTCTCCCAAAAGGTGCCTCTCGTCAACTCCCTCGATGACGCTAGGAAAAAAGAGTTACTCGCGTTTGTCACCGTCCTCAAACGGTGGCACCACTTTTCTCTCGGTCGTCGGCGTTTTAAGTGGAACATGGACAACAATCCGTTGATCTATTACAAAACGCAGGGCACGTTCACTAGCACGATCGGTCGATGGATGTATTACATCGACCAGTTTGACTTTGACCCATGCCACATCCCCGGTCCCGCCAACCGAGCAGCAGACACCCTCTCACGACGGCCCAATTTCTGTGCCCTAGTGACTACGACGTTCCAGCTCGACGACGATCTGCAGCAGCACCTCGTCAACGGCTACAAGTCCGACCCGACGTACTCCACGCTCTACGCGGAGCTTTCATCGGATCACCCGCCGGCTGGTCACTATCGTATCTCCGACGGGTTCTTACTCCTCCACACGAGAGGAAAGGACTTGTTAGTGGTGCCCCAAGATTGCATCTTATGGACTCACCTCCTCGGTGAATTCCACGACGCACGACTTTCGGCAGACCTGGGCGTGACCCGCACATTGGCCCGCTGTCGCACATTTTTCCGGTCGAGCCCTCTAGAAGACTGAAAAGACCAACGGGCTGTCACGTAGGATTTTGTCGTTTATTAAATGCAAAAAATTAAATTAATGCATAAAATAATATCCCTTCCCGTTGTGTGCGCCCGACTTCGAGCGAGACCCTTCAGTTACGGTCTACGCCGGACTCCGGTCTTAGTAACCTTTGATTGAATAGGTTCGGAACAACAAAGAATCATGCAATTAATAATCATAAAATTCTAATATGTCATCCGTGCATCAAGTTTGTCGATTTACAAATTTTGAGAACTGCGACAAAATCATCAGAGAATACAATCATCAAGCAACACAATGCAAAGAAGAAAAACTGACTGACTCGAGAAATGACGAGGTAATGGGGGAAGAATGAGAACTCATAATAATCTTAGGAAGCACACAAGAAGAGAGCATGGCCAACACTTGTCTCGAGTCCTCACTCATCCCTCTGAATCACGCTCTCAATCTCTCATTTTACTGTGCGTTTCCTGTGCTTCGAGCCATGTCTCCGTACTCTCTGAGATTGTGGTCTCTGGATGTAGAGCCACCTGAAACCTGCTAGTTTCGAGCATTTCCAGCCAAGTCCCATGACACGGAAGTCAACCATAGCACAAAACTCCTCCCATGAAGTAGGAAGATACGGCCGTGAGAAGACCCCTCGTTTGAGATGCTCAAACTCGCATGACTCAGTAACCTCCTCGTAGTCAATCTCTGCAGGGGAAATGTACCTTTTGGTTAAATCAACCAAGTCTCCCCAATTAGAGCCATCTGTGAGAATGAAAGGTACTGGAGGCTTGGGGTGGTCGGTGTAGAGCTTCGGCCCAGAACTGCGGATCAGTTTGGTACCATTTTCATCAAGCTCCCTTTCCCTCTCCTCAAGGTACCTAGCTGATGTGACCCAGAATGAATCGAAGTGCTCATAGCGCTGATGTGCTGGTACTTGAAGGCATCGTTAGAGGCTATCCTGTTGAGACCGGCCAGAACAGTCTCCTAGACTGAGAATGATTGAATTGTACTCATGTGCCGAAGTGGATGTTGGAACCGAACTCGGTGTCTTCCGCTAAGAGTGCTATCCCACTGATACTGATCTCTGAGGCAGCTGACAACGACTGTATGTTGATTGGATTTTGTCTAAAGTTTCGGGTAAACCAGACGACTGAATATTAATTGAATACAGATTGAGAGCTGATTGAATGCTGATTGAACGCAAATTGAATGGTGCTGCGACAACAAGTCTTTGAACACTGGTCACTTAACTGCGGATCGTTGAGAAAAATGCAAATCACTAGATGGCACTTGCAAACTGGGGAGTTAGAGGAGTTGTTTAGAGAGAGAGAACTTGGGTCTTTGCGCTCATCTGAGCTTCGCGTTGGCCTGCTTTGCCGCTTCTAGCAGTGAGCCAGTGTTGTGTAACTTACCGTCGTGGCCATAAAAGTAGAGCACATACTCTATATATTTCTCTCCTCTAACCATCCAGACCGCCTATTCCCTCTGTAGCTGCCTGTATAATTCCATGTCTCTGCATGCACTTGCTTCCCATCCTTCATTTTTGTCCTTTCGGATCCCACACTTCACCACTAGTATCTCCTCTTTTTTCATTACTCTGTTCCTGTCCTTTGGGGTTCTGGTTCTGAAAGGGCGTTGAAGGGAATGTAGCACGATCAGAGACGTAGCCTGGACTTATACAAGGGTGACCAAGCGTTCTCCGGGCCGGCTATGCTCACTACTAACGCCCCAAGCAACTGCATCTACCAACCTTCAATCTTAAGGAAGCTAGTTCACATAATTACCAAGGACTTAGGTTCCAATTCCCTTTTGTTGATACATATCCGAAAAATTCAGAGTCGGGGCTGAGTCTTTTGCTTTGTCAGTAAGATATAATTTCACAGCCCGACGCCCAATCCCATGAAAAGGGGTTCCGCTTCAGTTGAACTCTATAGCAGTTATTTTTGTAACTTTGTTTCTAGAAATTCTGGTTAGCCTGTAAAACAGACAGGGAAGAATCAATGGTACGAATTTACAGTGTACTCCCGGTTGCGAGTCGGATCCACAACACTCATCACAGGCCGTCTTCAGTTGTAAAGCCCTCCAACATCGAAGGAGTCACTAGAATATACTGGAATTTTACATCATAGTCTCAGGCTTTGTCTACAACGCCACAAGGTGGATAAACACTTCTTCATCGTCTCTGTCTGATTAGTAAACTGCTAGCCCACGCCTGAAGCATTTGTCACTACCAACACTAGTCCCCTATCAAGCAAGAACTTAACAATTAAATAAAGTATTCTCCTCAACTGTCCCTTTCTCCCCCTGCGGCTTATTACTCAGCCTCGGGTCTCCGGGAAAGCATCTTGATTACTCGAAACCTGGAAATTTTGATTGGTAGCCTAGACCCGTGGGTTGTGTGAACTTGCAAGTTCACACAACCGAATCAGAGCCTGCTTGCGGACTGACAAGGCTGCGCTCACCCATACCAGTCACCAAGCCGACAAACTTGTATGACCTCATGAGTCTGTACATTTATACGGTCCTCAGCCTGCACTGTCGCTACATATGCGAACTCTTTACTGTCTCGCACTGTTGTGATCACACATACCGTTGCTTCAAACACTCGTAAGGGTCTTGCCGTCTTAAATTTTGCACAGCCACAAGCTTACCCATCACCAGCGTTACAAAAACTCTTCAAACGGGTGAATTAGACTTTCTGACTATGTTTGTAACCTTTGCCCTTCTCAGCCGGTTGGTGCCAACAACTCATAACAGAGGACTATTATTCGAATCGTATTTACGGATTTGAGAAGGTCATGCGATCAGACATAGTATGTCGTCCAAGCCATGAAGGCAGCTCAGCCATCTTGGGGGCCGGCTCAGTCCGGCAGAGGCTTCTAGGCAAGTTACCTTTCAGGCGAGACTTCACTCGCAGAGCATAAGGATGGTAGTTTACCTCGACTGCTCTGTACCAGCTCGCCCGATTTTCAGCCCAAATGAGGTCAAAGGTGCAATGCGACCATCCCCTGTGTTAGCACTTAGCACGAGCTTCTGCTGCGCTAAGGTGGGGGGGGTAGTTGCACAAAGTTGTCTGTTAACTTGACCAAGTGTACAATGGACCGGGCCTCACTTCCTACGTTTATCGACGAGGCCGTCGAGCAGCGATGTTCCCTCCTTACCCGTCATGAGATTATGGTTGTCACTATCAATTGCTACTCAGGTCCACAACTATTATTAGCAATAAGATTAATCCCCGCCTAGACACACAGGCGAGTAGACAACTTCTCTTAGGGCACGGCCTTTCCTCCCCCTCCCATCCGACAAACAGTTACAGTATACGAGTCTAGGAGAAGTCATCAACCACAATCATATCTTTTTCAGTTCTCACAGCTCAGACAACTGTCGACCCTTCGGTCGTTTTCGCTAGTTCCAAAGGGGGTATAGGATGCCACTTGATAATTACCATCCAAGCTTTGAACCAGATAAGATCATTGCACATGAATGAAAAATGAGACAGGAAGGTGAGGAGTAAGGAGAGAGGAGGTTGGGAATAGAGCTTTGACTCTCATCTGTCTAACTGAGCAGTAAGTTGCTTCAGGCAGTTGCCCAGGTTTCACATTCGAGTTCAAGGTTTCCTCAAAATAGCAGGATCTGCCACGCCATCTGATTTCGAATAACCATACATTTTGTTGATACTTCGTAACTGTGACTTCATCATTTTCTTTCAGTTAACGATGTTACTGTCGTGTTGGATCATTTCCTCCTCACTCAAGGTAGCCAATGTCTGCCAGTCGTCGTAAGTAAGAGACGTGACAGTATTATTCCCTGCTCCTAGCAATGAGATACACCCCTCTTAGTCTTCACCTCACACATAAGACAAAATCCCAACCACATCCGTTGTTACGAGTATCCACGCCTCACGCGCATATCCCAAGCGAGATCTGACCCTCACTTCCACGCGTACCGCTAGCATTTCCCCACGATCATCCACCCACTGGTGAGGACGAGACGAGCGCGTGAAGCGTGACGCAGGTAAGAGAGGAGTAATTGGGACGTAAGGACCTAATGTCAATCACTAGCCTTACCTCATGCAAAACCTACGTGAAACCTCATCCTTTGGAGATGATCCCCACCACTAGTACCTCGTCAAGCGAGACCGCATCTACCAAGGTCCCATCAGCAGTCGCATCAGAGATCCCTCCTGTTACGGTCTTGCTTCGCTCTTTGCCAGCAGTCGGCGAGGTCCACAGGAACGATACATGCACGTTTTTTCGCAAAGTCTCATGAAGATCAACTTCGACGACCAACCTTCTGCCTTTGATCTCAGTGTCCATCCCGCCTCGAATCCGAGAGTCAAGATCAAAGAAGCTCAGTACCCCAAGGCTCTCTGCACACTCTCACAGTTCCATAGCTGAGTCAGAAAGCGTAGCTAGTTCCTTCCCATGGATAAAGACGCCAACAAGATTGGAGTAGAGCCTGTCCGCCCCCTACGCATCTCTCCTGTGGGAACTCTCACAGTTCTATCTTGTATGAAGTTGACTTCAGTCAAGGGTTCTTATCACGACTCTTCTCGGTGACGTCTTGTTTTGCACCGTTCTCAGTACCCTGCGCTGGTTGATCCGGCTGCGAGATCGGTGGTTCCGCTCCCGGAGAAGCCCCTACATAATCACGGGAGAAACGGTAATATCACGCGCCTGACTCCCCCTTTCATATGAATCCTCAAAGCCTCTCCCCTCTTCAGTTGGGCTTTCCCCGAGTATGTGTGGCACTCTCATCCTACGCTCTCACAGCTGCAACCAGCAGGCCATCAGCGCTGCTCACTGCCACACATAGTGCTATGCAATATCATGGCTCGAGAAGGAGGATGACGTCAACAACGATGAGCAAACTCGTTTCTTGCTAGCGCTTCTCAACTACTACGGGCCGGGTTTCATACACAGCCCGTGCACTTACAACTAGTCATCACCTCAAAAGGAGAGAGAGATGATTGAGTCGTGGTCAGCCGTCCACCATCATCCGCAATCACACAATCTCTCACCCATACACTCCACTCTCGCTCTGACCTCTCCCCACTCTGCCCTGCGCATTTGCGTTCCGCGAGGACCCTGGTTCCAGCCGCCCACAAGTAACCGCTCAGTGCTACAGATCTCCCCTTCGACGCACGCCGGCCTCAACAGGATCCTGGTCCCTCTGTCGTCGCGAGCAGGCCTCCGCACCGCTCT